TATATCAGTTATTCATAGCAGTTCGAGGAGGAACATGACACGTTTTGTTTTAGATCACATCTTCTCGTTCAATTAATAGTTGATAATAATTAATAATACAAATACATTTCATACTGTCCTTTTAAATTTGAATTTTAAATTGTGGAGTCTTTACCTCATTCAAAAGCAAAAATAGAAAAAAGGATTAATGTAACTTATCTTTATTATCTTTGACATCTGTTTAGTGTAGTGTAGACTTCCTAATTTTCCCAATTGTGGACGTCCCAGTTTTTAAAGTCATAATGTCACTACTTAAGTAACTTGGTTCTGTGTAAATACTGTAGAGATTATATACATGACATTACTATACTTAAGTACAGTACTGTGCAAAGTCAGAGACCATTTATTTAATTTCCAGTCAAATTGACTATTAAGTCGTTACAAATTTTTTAGCAGGAAAAGCATATTAATATATATATATATATATATATATATATATATATATATATATATATATATATTTTCAATTTATTTTTTTTTCACTCCTCCAAAGTTTAGTCTTAGAAGTTGTTTGCACTTTCTGCTATTTTTTCTAATCACATTCAGTGATGTTAAGGTCTGGTCTCTGGGGTGGTCAGTCCATTGTTGCAGAGAACGGCAGCAGCTTCTTTACTTTTTGGTCTTATTTCCTTGATGAAAGCTTTAAGTACTGTTTATCTGATGAGGACAGTTTTGGTGTCTACCAATCTTGCACAGTTGTTGGGAGTCCCATATTCTCTAAATATTTTTAGATTTTCCTTTCACAGACTTTTATTCTGTTGTGCTCATGCAGTCATCCAAGAAAATCTGTAAAATGTAATTATCCAGGCCAGTTATGGAAAGTAATACATGCTACAAAAGTCCCATGATTTTCTCCCATGATTTTCTCCCATGAATCTGAGTTAGCCAATGGGTGATACTGAAGAAGGCACATAAACAAGCCAAATGACCGAGGAAAACATGTCAATGTGGGAAAACATAGAGTTTGTTCACATATTAAATAAAAAGCAGCTCTTAATATCTGTCTTCAAAGTCTGTGCTTTATTTAACTACATTGAACTGTGAGCTCTTGTCTTTTGGGTCATAGATCTTTGTAGATTCTGTTGGCACTTTGTATCCAATTGGCTTCTGTTGTCTACCCTGTTTTGAAAGTCGGTCTGAATAAGAGCATCTGATGAATCAATATATTCACACTAAATGTATTTTTAATATGTTTTCCAAATTCTGACTTATGCCAGGCTGTAAAGCAGTAGACTCAGTGCATTTCTTTCCTGATTGTCAATAAGTATTACAGACCAGTTCAAAATGGCCCATGTGTGTTGAAATCAGCTTAGAGCATTTAAGTGACAGAGTATAATATGGAACGTTTCATTAAATAATGGAAGGGTTTTAGAAAGCAGCAAATGACTGATCCATGACCACCTGCATTCTTGGTTTCAGTACACCTGAAGGCCACTTACTTTTTGTGACTTCAACCCAGCTGCTTGATCATTTGCCACACTTTATCTACTGTAAGGACTTGTGTGAAAATCTGATGAAGGTTTAGGTGTAATTTATGCATAAATAAAGAAAATTCTAAAGGGTTCACAAACTTTTAAGCACCATTGTAAGTTTATTTAGGTCCCACCCACCTTCTGATAAGACCGTGATGGTCCAAGAGCAGTCAGTGCAGTTGCCTACACGATTCATCTCTACACAAGATGAACCTGCATCTAGCTGTTTGTTTCCTCTGCGTCGCAGCGTTCTCCAACATCTTTGTTAGTAAGTTCTATTTGTGTGAATACGTGCCACTCGCTTTGTGGCATGACCTAGATTTCTGAGACGGAAGTTTTAATATCTAGATCAAACATCAGTGTGGTTTTGAAACGGTACACCTGGTTCTATAATCTTCACTGTCCACAAGAACATAGATGTTTTTTTGTAAACAGATGTTTTAGTAAATTCGTTTGTGAAGTATGGGTGCTATTCATTTAAGCATTTAAATGGTTTGCATATTATTCAGTTTTTAATAAAAATGGGTGACAACAGACATCCTTAATCTACTCTTTCACTCACAGACAGATTTCCACCAAGTTGCTGCCTCAGTGTAAGTGGTGTCAAAGTCTATCTGGACTGTATTCTGGACTACAGATGGCAGAATAAAGGACTGTGCCCAGTCACAGCAGTCTTGTAAGTAGTAACTTATAGACTTTAAGCAAAGTAAGGTAACTCTACTCTGTGATCTTTGAAGGAAATTATGAAATTAAGGTGAGTCTGTTTAATATCTTACACAGTCAAAAAAGTCAAATTGCTGAAACTAAATAAAACTGTGTTCTAGTGGAAAATGAGACACTTCATAATGGTTTGCCCACAGTTATGTTCCGGCTCTTTCTTTAGTATTTAGCAACAAAACAAAAACAGATATAATTTGACCGTTGGGCTTAATCACACTTACTATCTGTATGTGCTGTGAACTTGACTAACTTTGATCAAGGCCTTTGCCCATTTGCATGCATTGTGCTTTTTAGTGTTGAGGTAAAAATCTATGCCTTTTAATGTTCTCTTCTACTGTATTAACTATAGTAATTGGAAACACAGTAGCACCCAAAGTTAAAGTCTCTAAATATATCATTAAGTAGGGGTTACTTCTCTTCCTCTAAACCAGCGTCATTTAATAAAAATGAGTTTCTTTTCACAGGTTTGACGCTCAAAACCTAAACAAACTCAGCTCTAATCCAAACATGGAATGGACCAGAAGGGCCATGAGTACGGTTGATATGGAAAAGAAAAAAGCGTCAGAGAAGAGTAAAAAGAACAGCGCTGCACTGACATCAGATTCACCAGCAGAGGCGTCGGAGAGGGGGCATCCCTGCCGACACCGACCAAGCTACCAGTGAACAGCAGGTGGCTTCAAGAGTCAGCAGTTTCAGCAGCACCAAAGAAGCAGCATGAAGCAGAAGGATCAGTGAAGTCTACTGAAGTAGCGCAGGTCCCTAAGGGGCAAAGTAAGGGAGGAAAAAAAGAAGACAAAGGGAAAGAACAGAGTGAGAAAGAGGAAAGTGAAAAAGACGAGTCAGTAAATGGTGAAAGAGGCTATAGGTTATTGTAAATAATGTAATAATTGGAAATACAGCACATTCAACAGTTCTTAGTAGAGATATACAGTATTTATATACAGTCACATGCAAAAGTTTGGTCAAATAACGTTTTGTTGCTTTTTGAAGTAAAAATAAGTTTACATTTTTACACATTAGTGAAGTATTTTTTATGAATTTGCTAAATTTAACATTGAAAGAAAAAAACTATGTAACGTGCAAAAATTATGGCATATTTTTTACATTTTATGTTTTATTTTTATTGTAATATTTTGTCCCAACATTTGTTAAAAAAGCACATTTAGGTTCCTTTCGGAGAGTGGCTCCTCTTATATGTGCTCTTCTAATTGTGCTGTAGTTACTTCCACAAGGTTATGATGGTTGATTTATAATGTATTTCATCAACTAATATTATTATTATTATTAATAGTAGTGGTAATATTGTCGTATCACTTAATTTTAAGGAACACATATATTTGGGCTTTATTGCTGTCATTCTTTTATCAGTAATGCCCAAGTAAGACGCTTCTAGACGATACCTTCATTATGATTTGTATTATTACATAATTGGATATCTGCTGTGTGACAGTCGTTAATAATTGCATTATCGGTTGCGTTATCAGTACACTGATAATCCACCTGGGGACAGAAGAAGTGTCTGATTTTATACGTAAGGTTTTTCAGAAAAAAAAATATCCCACTGATGATTAATCATCTAAATTGCATGAATAATCACCTAAATTCTTTTTTATTCTTAGATTCTTCATTTATTGTTGGTAGCATTTGTAAGTATGTATTTGTAAAGGTCACAGTGAAGAAAGCTTAATGCATACTGAATAAACCAGTCAGAAGTGTTTAATTTGGGCTTTACTGAATGACGAGTAAAGCCTTAATTAAAACCTCATTATCATTAACATTATGTCCTGATGGAGAAGCTGTTGTATCCTGAGCCTAACACTGACAGCAGAGCGTTTCTGTTGGAGCACTGAAAAGGAGCTGAATGACTTGGTCAGCTGCTGATAACGTTATCGGGGTTTGTGTTTGCAGCAAGTCGTTGATGAGCTGGTACTAAAAAGTGAACGACTGTAACATTTTCCAAATCCATGCAGTGTCTGACGGTCAGATGCACGACTGTATGGCCGACAAATGACTTGAGATTCGACTCGAGGCCTCTTATTCGAATTTCCTGTTTCACTTTAAATGGTGCAGTAGTTACATTCAGGCGCACGTACACGTTCCACAATGCGACAGGCTCTTCATTTAAGGTGGAATGGGAACAAAAAGCTGTTGAATAAGAAGCTAACTTAAGCATTCAGCTAACATCCTTTTTGCTGGGCCTGCGGTGCTCAGAACAGAAAGCAGCATTGATAAAGGTGTGTGTGTGTATATATATATATATATATATATATATATATATATTATTTTATATATAAAATTCAGTTTTGTTTTTATTGCAAAACAAAAAATATTTCAGATTTGCTTTGGTTGTTATAAATGACTCTTATTTAAAAGTGAAAGAAGAATAATAAGCCACTGTTAACCTACAAAAATAGGTCTACTAAAGTTAAAAGGTTTTATTTGGAAAAAGTTCTGTAACATATTACAAAACCATTAGAAATTTTAATCATACTATGATTTTGCCTGTACTGCCCACTATTATGGTTATGTTTGAGGTGCCGTGTCACTCAAAAATACAATAATATATTTCAAGTGGTAGAAACACGTTCTGGAAGCATAGGCAGCATTTTCTGTGCAGCTCATCTGTGTGGATCATTTATTGGCTTTTTACAGTACGTATAAGAACGTAAGCTGATTAAATGTACAGTAAGTTCTTGAAATATATCATAGTCTTGTGTTCTGGAAAACAAAACACTAGCAATGAATAATGAGGCCTTGTGCACAATCATGCAAGCTTTAATAAGGAAATATTTTATTTGATATTTTGACAACATATTGACATTTTTGACAACAAAGATTAGAAAAATGACAAAAACTGCACTTTAAATAAACAAAAAAGATACTGGGACAAAAAAAACATTTAGTTGATGCAACAACACTATTAAATTATCATTTCACAATCATCCTTATGTATGGAAATGCCAAAATAATTATTAATTATGATTAATTCGAAGAAATTCTTCATGAAGCATCAGTGAAAAAGCGAAGCCATCAGTCTTCTTTTGCCGTGAGATGCTACATGCAGCATCTGTACAGAGAGAGATTGTTTAGAGAGACAGATTCGTTGTTTTTATCATGTCATTGTTTTACACCGTCTGTATGTAAGATGTTGAAACGTGACTGTGAAAAAAATATCATACCCAGCATTTCTACCACATTCGTTGCTGCTATAAAGGATTCCCCCTATTTTCCGGCACTCATATTGTGTTTTGCAAACTCCAAGTCCCCTTCTGCAGCACAATCCGTGAACCAGGCTGTTCTCACCTGAGATCAGGAAAGAGAGAAGGATTTTGATTTCGACTAGAGTTTACTATTAGGCATTTCCACAGTATCCCAGTGTCGCAGCAAAACGTTTGAGGTATTTTTCCATGTGTTTTTCAGAAACATAAATGCTAAAGAAAGCAGGTTTAGAGATTTTTCAGCGCAGTAAATACTAACATGCTAACAAAAATATGACTTACAGTGAAAGGCTAACACCAGAAGTAGCACAACAACAAGCACGGCTGTCGGTTTCATCTTTCCACAGGGCTGATTCTCTTCAAGCAGGATTCTCAGTGTGGCTGAGTTTGGTCAAAAACGGCCGGCTTTTATTTGCATCCGAGAGTTCGAATTCCACCCACTTCTCAAGAACGTGCCCATTACCGCTTTAGCATTTGTCAACAACACAGCAATAAGAAGTCCAAAGTTCATAACTGACAACAGAATCTGCCATGTGAAGGATGGCAAAGGACCTTGATAAAAACACTTTGCTGCTGTAATTTACATTTGGAAGCAGTGGTACTCACGCGGGACTGAGAGATGAAAAGGAAAAAAAAAGTCATAGCCATACTGTTATCCACAGGAGCATGAATGCCAGACTGGGCTCAGATTGGGTTTGGGGATCACGAGCACAAAAACGAAAAGAAAAAGGATTGAGATATTGAACTTCTTCACGTGCTTCATTGTGATTTTATGGTGTTATGTGTCAAATAGACGATGTACAAGTAGCCCTTAAATCAGTCAAATACAGGCTTGATACAGTATCATTGTCTTGACCATCCGTGTTGAACGTTAGGGGTGGGAATCTCTAGACACCTCACGATTCGATTGCGATTACGATTACAATTCAGAGGCTGCGATGCGATTATAAAACGATTATCGATGCATCTCGATGCCTCTTTTTTTCTATACAGGATTTCTTTTTTTTTCACTGTGTGAGGACTTGGTACTTTTAAAGCAAAGTATTTGTAATGATCCATAATGAATTTACTTCCAGTATCTTTTATTAATAAAACGAGTGATGTGGTAAGTGAACTGGAACACTCTCATTCGCTGCTCTTGTTTGGAGCACATGAGACGCTGCTGCCACTCATGTTCTGGTATTGTTGTAAAATATCAGGTCATGATACAAACTTTACACATTTATTTCCCTTGATAACAGTCAGGGTCCCCTGCGGATCCTTACAAAAAGTCATGTATTGGCTAAATAAGCTTGACCTACTTCTGATCTTTAGTTTCTTTTTTGCCCTCTGTTTACTCCACTGTGTCGAAGGGCCATAATCGGACATTAACCACAACTCCCTCAAGTGAGGGACGCTTTCAGATAGTATCAGAGTGATTTAAATGTCTGCAGTGTGCAACTCTTTTAAAGAGGAAGCTCAAACCGTGTGCACTGTGCTCTGGTGTTTTCACTCGTTTCAACTAGCAACCTTTCGTCTAAACGTGGCCATGTAAAATGAGACTGTTTTCTACCGCTTGACCCTGAGCAACATGCTTTTAAGAGCCATGTACTAAAGGAATGCACATTGTTTCTTATCCTCGAGTCAGCTGAGTGTGCCCTTATGGTTTACAGCAGAAATGTTAGCCTGCTTAAAGGTGAATGAAAGTGTTAGAGCAATCTGAAATCGATCAGATTCATAATAGTACAGGATACACGTAAGAAGTCCGAACCAAAGCTGTCAGTTCAGAATGTATAATTAAAAACTGACAAAAAAAATAAATGAAGTGATTTAAGCATGTATCTAAAGTGACTAGTAGCCAAATCCTCAGATCAGTCCTTCAAATCTGATCATAAGTCAATATTGAACACATAAAAAGTGGGGTAAAAACAAAACAGTGGAGAATGTCATGTTATGCAGACAATAAAATGAACTGGTTTTACTGTAGAATTAATTGGAAAGACAATGTAAAAACTGTATGACCTTGTATATTAAACTACTCCAGAATAGTCCACCAACCAAAAGCATGCAGCCACCAGCGGTCCAGTGGTCTAACCTGACCACTGAAGAAGGAATGGAGGATGGCAGAATTGATGGTTGAGCACACCAAAAAGAGAGCGTAAGGATCATGCAGTCTCTTTGAAGATTTGAATAACATATTAAAAAAACATAATAAAAAGCTTTGAATTTGATTTTGAAAATTGTGCAGCAGCCCTTGGCAGCTCCTTTGTGGTATTACCCATGGACTTTCACTTTCAGTGACGTTTTTTTAATACCTTTAGTTTGTACTTTATCACTCACGATGAGTGGACCTTTCATAGAATGTAGAATTTCATTATTTCACAAATGAAGTAAAATGCTTGTATTTTTGCTCTGCTTTCCACCGGACAGTGTGCACTGTGATATGTTTCATGACCACATCTGTCCTTTGGACTTAAAGAACCTGCAAAGGTTGTGATTCCAGTGAAAAGTCTTGGGATTTTTTTTGAGCTGAAATGTTTTGGTAGGTGATGATTAAGTTGGAAAAATTATACATTCAAATAAAAAGAGACAAACATCAATAAAATACAATTTATTAACTGCCACAGAGTGATTAATACAGTTAACACATTACATAGTCCACAGGGTCGTATTACTTTAAGTAAACTAATTAAACATTTACAAAGGATTGCATTGAACACCTCAGAAAATCAGAATTACAGTCAATCTTTAAAATTGACTTGGTTGTAAATCTTTAACAAAGTTTATCTATAAAAAAATGCAATAGTTATAATAATAATTTTATTATGTAGTGAATATGATCTTTTGTTGTTGCTTGAAAGTCTTCATTATCACAGCATCAACAGCTTTCATGTTTCTGGATTGGAGTCTGGAGTAATTCCTCTTGGTGACGTCCCATTAGACTTGGTTATGATTTTGGAGGATCGAGCCATGGATTCTCTGATGATACTTGCCATGGGTCATATACAACACCTGAAGACCAAGAATATAGTTCAGTGATATAATGACCGTACGCTTATAGATTTATGGAATGAATGATGTTGAAGAGTGACAGAAGTTAAGTTACCTTGAAAATCCACATTCTGTCCTAAAGGCAGGATGTCCCCCAAATCTCTTACATTCGTTGTATGATTTACAGAGTCCTTTTCCATTATAACAGCATTTTCCATCAACCACACTGTCCTCACCTATGACCACAAAGCAATATTGAGAGTCCATGTTTTCACAATTTCAATTTCAATACTGGTATAAACATTCTGTATTCATATTTGACCAAAAGTATATACACATCACCTGGCAAGTCATGTTTAGCTCACAGTCATATCACAACAAAAAAGAGGAAGACTTACAGTGTAACGACAGCACCAGCAGCAGCACGACAACAGCCACAGACAAGGATTTCATGTTGGCTTGTTTCTCTTGAACAGGTTGTCTTCAGTGTAGCCCTGGACAAAAACTGCTGGATTTTATTTACAGTGAGAGGTTTAAACCCCACCCACCTCCCAACAAGCCTGACCAATACTGCTTTACTATAGTCATAAAGCATAAACACCAGTCCTTTATTTCCTTTATTATGAGTCCAAAGTTGAAATTGGATCATTGAGTCTGCATGTGAGGGAGCCCATAAGGATTACCACATGAAGGACACTTAATAGGAAAGTATGTAGTCCAGTTTTCTACATTTGTGCCCTCTGCAGCCATAATCAAATACCACTGGTACATATATGCCAGACATACACTGCAACACAATTTTGCTGCTTCTTGGAGCCACAACAGCTTCTACAGCAAAGCCATAGACACAAACACACAAAGTGTGGATGCAAGTATGCAAAAATTCTCTGTTGCACGACTCACTACAGATTCCAAACTGCCTCTGGAATTAACATCAGCACAAGAGCTGTGCATCAGGAGCTTCATGAAATGGGCTTCCACGGCTGCACATAAGCCTAAGATCAGTATGTGCAATGCCAAGCGTCGACTGGAGTGGTGTAAAGCACAGCACCACTGGACTCTGGAGCAGTGGAAACAGGTTCTCTGACGTGATCAATCATGCTTCACTATCTGGCAATCTGAAAGATGAATGTGGGTTTGGTGAATGCCAGGAGAACGCTACCTACCACAGTGCATAGTGCCAACAGTAAAGTTTGGTGGAGGAGGGATAATGAGCTGGGACTGTTTTTCTGGGTTTTGTGCACCTCACCCTTCCAATAATATATGCGTCCATCTTTGTGGCTACATTTTGTGGAAGGTGTTTTCCTGTTCCAGCATGACTGGCCCCTGTGTGCAAAGGAAGGTCCATAAAGACATGATTTGACAAGTTTGTTGTGGAGGAACTCCAGTGGCCTGAACATGGATTTAAACAATGATCGCAAGCCAGGCCTTCTTGTTCAACATCAGTGCCTGACCTCACAAATGCTCTTTTGACTCAATGGGCACAAATTTGCACAGACACACTTCAAACCTTTTGGATAGCCTTCCCAGAAGAGTGGAGGCTGTTGTAGTAATGCCCTTGCATATGGAATGGGATGTCAAGCCAACTCATATAGGTGTGATGGTTAGGTTTCCACATAGTTTCAGCTTTATACTGTAAAATGTTGATAACCAAAATGTTTTTGAGTCACCCAGAGCCATCCATTGTAACCATGTTCTGTATGTTTATCCCTAGCTTAATCTTCATTTCTAAAGCCACTGCTTATTTATTTACATTTTTTGTGCATCTTCATGCCATTTTCCCTTGTAATTCTGCTTGTATAAGAATTCCATTAATACCAATATAGGGCTGCCTGTAGCTGCCTGCATTATTTTAAAAACCCTGCTGCTTCCCTACAAAACCAAAAATGGACCAGCTCCTTCATACCTGATGGCAATTGTCAAATGCACCACGGTCTTGAATAGCCATCTCTTTGAAAAGCATTTAAAAGCCTTGCACAAATTTGTATATATGCACACAAGTGTATTTTTACTCATAAAAACAGCATTTATTATTAGAATAAATGTAAACAAACATAATACTAACAAGAATATATAGTGTTCTTTTATTACCTTCCATTTAAATGTCTAATGAAATGTCTAATAACTGTATTCTGACTCGAGCTTTGTGACTCATGTTGGTCTGGCTATCATAAAGCCATTATTACATGGTGTTGCCAACATTTTGTGCGATAGTCAGTAAGGATATATATGCCCAAAAATATCTGAAATAGTCTGGCCATTATTGGCCTGGACCCCTCTTTAATTGTGCCCCCCCCCACCCCATTTTAAAAGCTTCACTTGGACCAGGGCAGCTAAAGCCTGCTGTTTTTATGATTATATCTTAGTCACAGTACCAAGTTTAGTTACACTAATATGGAACTACTGGTGTGTGGTGTGCATGCGTACTCATATTCAGATGATGAACCGACCTGTAGGTGATTGTAAAATGATTGAGAAAGCTGGAGAGCATCATGAATTAATTTCTGAGAAAGTTAATGTTGAAAATGTGTTGTTTTTGAAAAGGGGTGATCAAATGTCAAGGTACTTCAGTTGGTACAAATGCATTATTATAGTGTATAAGTCATGGCCTCTCTGTTGCAGATTAGATGTACTTTTCATTGCACATGGGTGTCTGTATGATTATCTTCCTGTAAATGTTGAAAAAAATACCCTTTATTTCCTCCAGTGTGCACATGGTGTATCCACACGTTTTATGTTTGTGTGATTATGTTCACAATCTTTTTCTTACACTGGGCTGCTATACCAGTCTGGTTAGATAGGAATTAGAGTTGAGACTGTTGATGTAATCTATGTAATCAGCTATCAAAGACTTTATTGAGCTTTATTGTTATCAAAGTTTACTCAGAGTTTATGACACTCTCAAGTAGAACTCTCGCTGTTTGTTCACAGATCAGCGGCATTATGCCTGACAGTATGCTTTGTGCTGTTCACGTTCGTTGTCCTGGCGTGGATAATGCCACGTGCTAGACCCCAAATTGTAATGGGTCATAAATGTTAGGTGGGTATGGCAGTGAGTCAAGTGATTGGCACACAGTCTTGAGACAAAACAGTCTGAAAAAGTGAGACCAATGCTGACAATTTTAAATAGCAAATGCTGACTTAAACCAGAGCAGTCCGTTTTTTAATTGATCTGTTGATGGGTTGCGTCCTTGAATTTGACTTGCTGATGATGATTAATCGGCAATTAGTGACGGTTAGTTGTTAGTTAAAAGAATTTGCCAAAATTTGCATCCCTGGGATCATAGAGTGATTTACTAAGCCTTGATGTAATTTTGAAGATGGCAGTTGTGTGTCTAAATTATTATCACTAAGGGGCAGATACTAGTCTGATGAGCTTTTGGCACCATGGTGGCTGTCATTGTTTTTTCAGTATTTAGCTTAAAATATGTATAAAGTATAACATTAGCACAGCTAATGTACAGCCAAATGTGATGGTGGTGGAATCGAGTGAAAGTCATGCTTGAGAAATGCTTAATGGAGGAAATTATTCTTTTGCAGATTTAGTTCAAATTTACATAAATAGCAAGGGCAAGAAGCACAACTGAATGCACATGACCTTTGATCTCTCGGACAGCACTACATTGAAACCCTGCATGCTTCTGTGAATGATATCACCGCCAGGCTCAGGAATACTTTACAAACCGTTGTCGATAAACACCGATCATTACTGCATCCACAAATGCAAGTTAACACTGTACTGTACACAGCAGAAGTCATATATCGACGAAGTCCAGAAACGCTGCCAACTTCTCTGGGCTTGAGCGTGTGTTACATGTGTTACAACAGGATGGTGGCATAATATGAGGGTCTGGGTGCTAGATTGGGCAGCCTGTCTTCTATTGAAAGTATGTGACGTGTTATGAAGTACAAAATACCACAGTGAATGCCCTGTACGGTTGAGCAGATGTTCAGCAAAAAATTCCACTTTCAGAACTGGATCATTTGGTGTCTTCAGTCCCCAAATCATTATTAAGGGCTGTTAAAACACGTGATTGTGTAACACAGTGGCAAACATGCTCCTGTCTCAACTTTTTTGGAACGTGTTGCAGGCATCATATTTGTAATGAGCATATTTTTACAAAAAAACAATAAACTTAATACGATAAAACATCAAATATCATATTTTTATAGTGTCTTCAGTTGAATACAGGTCAAACGGAATTTACTAATCACTCCTTTCTGTTTTTATTGGCATTTCACTGACTGTCCAAACTTTTTTGGAATTGGGTTTGTAACATTTAATTACGCAGAAGAGAGATAATTCACTGATATGTCCACATTGAGGTTATATTACAATGACACATTCAGGAAATGCTACAATGCAGAGTCAAAATGACTGAAAAATGACTGAAAAATGTAAATAAGATTTAAATTGGTGAGAACCAGAGATATTTTGGTGACGTACTACTTGAGCAGGACATTTAACCCCCGATTGTTCCTCCAGTCTTATACTAGAAAAACATAGCTGAATAATATCTTCAACTGTAGATTTCAGGGACATAGCCTAATTGTTGTTTGTTAAAAAGTGCAGAAAACGTTAATTTAGGCTGTCTTATTGTAGAAATGCACACCCTTCCACGGAGTCTTTGGTCTTTGGTCCCACCAAGCTGACCTCTTTAAAATGGCTCACATGGTCCACGACAGAGCTACTACTTGTGTGTGGGTAATCTACAAATGCTGAGTGGTAGCAACAGCATGCTTTTTCCTGACCACACTGCGAGAATGAGTGAATACCACGTTGCTCAGTGATGGCGTAGCATTTCATGAGTTTTCCCCCTTTGCTTTCATGCTGTTATCTATATGCTGTTATATATGCTGTCATTTACAGCATCATGGGAACTCTCATACTGCCACACTGTACCTTTAATATCTCTTGATCTCTTAGCCAATTTGTAGACAACTGACTTCTTCAGTGCACTTTATAACTATCATCACTGTAACTGGTTTATTAACTTATTCTTACACATAATTGTGTAAAAACATATTTTAATAGTATTTTTTTCACTTGTGGAAGTACAGATGTCAAAGTTAATGTCAGCATACATTAGACATCCTGTAGAGACAGGAAGTACAGTAGGCGCAGGTGAGTGAGAGCGTAGTTTCACATTAAAGAGTCGTGTGCGGGAGCTGTGAATGCAAAGTGGGTGTTTCTTTGTGACTCAAACACTTAAAAGTTTCCTCCATTTCTGATTTTACAACCCCAACACACATTTCCACTCACGCTTTCTCTCAGCTGAATGCAGCTGTCATCCTTTATAACAGTGAGTCTCGAATTAGTTCTTTTAGGCCTAGTTTAAAAACCCTAAAACTGGATTAGTTAGACCTAAACACTTAAAAAGATGGTTCTTTAAGGGTTCTTTAGCAAAGGCAATGGTTTTGTTTACAACCCCATATGCAAAAAAGTTGGGACGCTGTGCAAAATGTAAAAACAAAATGCAAGGTTGTGCAAATCATTTAAACCATATATTGAATTGAAAATAGTACAAAG